AGCAGAGGCAGGACTGATAGATGGCTGCTAACATAAAAATAAAATTTAAACATATTAAGCCCTGCATAAAATCAACTTTTATGCATATTGCATAACAAAATTCCAATCTCAAGAACCACACTACTGTAGCTGCTTGCTATGAGAGCGCTGGTGGAATTTGAGCCCACCACAGTTTCTAAAAGACTTTCCACACTGTCCACAGATGTAAGGCTTCTCTCCAGTGTGGATGCGGAAGTGCCTGGTTAAAGCACCAGAATGACGGAAACACTTTGAGCAGACTGAGCAGGTATATGGCCTCTCTCCTGTATGGATTCGAAGGTGGGTCTTGAGATTCTCCATGCGATTGAACTCTCGGTTGCACACTGTGCAGCGGAAGGGGCTGCAACCCGGTGGGTAAAGCTGCAATCTGGCCCTCTTGCTTCCTGCTACAGGTTGCTGACAGCGTTGCTGGAACCTTAGCTGGCACTGGCCAGTGTGTCGGCGCAACAAGCTGGGCAGATGGAAAGTCTGACCACAGGACTTACAGGCATAGAGGGTAGCTATGGGGTGGTTGAGTTTATGACTGGTTCGAACATGGACTGGGTAAACCTGTGGAGCGGCCTCTGACACAGGAGCTGGTTCGGACAGCTGGAAGATACTGGAGAACTCTGCAGGGAGGGATGGAAGATCTGTGGGCGGTTGAAGGGTGGAGGCTGGGTTTGGAGGATGAGCTGCTGAAAGACATAACATGCAGAGTTAATTACATTGTAGAATAATTATGTTGTTTGTTTTTTTTTTTTCATTTTAATAAACACATGAACCCAAAAAATTCAATTACACAAACTTCATTAGCCTTAAAGATCAGAATTCATGTAGTATCAAGTACATACATAAAACACTTATTTATTTACATGTATTAAGTCAGTAGATTGCTCTATATAAAAACAATTGTCAAACAGTTTTTGAATCCTTTAGAATAATCTGAGGAATAATCTGACATTTAGCCGCCTGACTGGAAGTCCAGATGTTAAAATTTTGCATCACTAGATAGTAGGAAAGCATAAATGTCGTGCTGTTTGACTGGCACATGGGTATGAGGGAAATTTTCTATTGCATACTGGGTGTACAACCAATCAATATTATTGATAATGAGAAATTGTCTGTTACTTATATAGAACTTTTATTGTCCCACTAGCAACTTAGATCATTTTACAGTGCAAGCCAATAAACCCATTCATTTCCCTGCACATAAACTTTTTGTTTATCTCACATGCACAAATAAAGTCAATTCAGCATCGCTAGTTAACTGAACATGTATGTATTTGAACCACGTGAAGAAACTGCTGTATCGGTGCCAGAACACTAAAAACATCCCGAAAATTTCAAACCCAGAATCTTTGTAATGTAAAGTAACAATGCCAACCAAAAAGAAAAAAAACTACTCTGGGTCATGAATGAAAGTATTTCAATCTACCTGAACACAAACAGGAAACTGCTGTTGTTCTTGTATGACTGTGATGTCTAATTTAATTATACAGACTCAGGAGATAAAATTATAAAAAATAATCTTTCACTAAGCCTGTATTCTGTCATCGTGTTGGCAGTACTCGGTCCCAGAAGGGCAGAACTGGCCAAACATTTGTTCTCACGTTCACAATTCTCCTATACAGCTTCCTTGGAGCTTGTCCAGCTTCCACTATGGTGGCAGTCAGAATGGACTGTGGGCTGGTGAAGTGAACTGCTGGCACAGAAAGTACTGCTTGTCCTGCTGGTGCGATGATCTTAGGTGTCAGAAAGAATGCTGGTAGGTCTGTCTCTTCACTGATTGCTTTGACATGATGGGATGTGGGAGCTGACTAGAAGTCATCTCCCTCTGTTGCGTCTGATCTGCTGTCATCTCTAGCAGCTGCCACTGATGCTCCTGTTGTGCTGGCATGGCTTGTGCATTGAGCACTGCTTACTCCTGTAGATGCTTGTCAGACTCGGGGCAAGCTGCAGGCAGCACAGGACTCTGAAGCAGCACTAAGAGTTCCTGCCTCTTCTACATGTTCTACCATTAGACAAGCATGTTCTGGTTTATTTCCATCAGCTAAATGTCTGCTCCCTTCATCTCCTGAGAGTTACAAATGCTAAATCTCACAACAATCCCTCAGAATTTAGGACCAACTTGGTTCAGTTTCCTTAGCATTCCTTTTTGTGGCAGTGGGAAGAAAAGAGTCTTATATGTTTTCCACTATCTGGAAGTAGCCAGGACACTACAGGTCCCAAACTCACACTACAAGTCATGCTCTCTGCACCTGACATTTGTTTAGGGCTTAAACCAGCTTTTCCTTGTCACTTTGATCCAGTCTCTTGCACAGAGCTATAGTTGTGTTTGTATGCTGGATACTAACATAGAGAGGTGTGATCACACAGCTCTACCAAATACTAAGCAAGTCTGTCTGTATTTTAGTTATTCACAGCCTATTCAAATGATTAAACAGAAAAGACAATAGCAATGTAAGATATTTATTGTCAAAGACCTTTAACAACATTTTTCTATGCTGTGGATTTAACAAAATATGTGTACACAAGTACTCAGAAATACTATAGATTGGCTCAGTGATGGCATAATTGGATCTATGGTTCAAAGATACCTCATTAATTAACCTAATTTGCATTACAGTTGCTTCATTTGAGATTAAACTATTTTAATTACATTCTAAGTGGACTTATACATATAATTTAAGCACAACTTTAATGCTTGTTAATGCTAAGTAAAATGAACAGCTAATCATTTTGCACCCAGTGAAATAGCACATGGTGAGTTGGCATATAGTCCATCTACCAGTTTTAATAGTAATTACTGAAACAACAGACAATAATTTCCCATAATGATCAAATCTAGCTGCAAATGTGACTGGCCTGCAGATCCAAAAATGACAAAGATTTCCCTGGATGATCTTTCAGCAACTTGATTGCAAGGAAAAATGTCTATTTACTCTTGTTGATTCCACATGTCTAAATCTGAATAAATGTCAGTGCAGTACATTTGTAAAACTAAACAATTTATGAGAGAAGGCTCTGCAGTGTGTTAACTGTGTTTACAGGCCTGGGTTTTTTTAAGCCCTCTTGAATCTCAAACATTTTACCCTCCCATGAGGTGAATGCCGTTTCAAAGACTTTTCCGCTTTAGCTGAGTATGTCATTGTTAGATATTGCAAATCTGATTTTAATTTCAACCTTATTTGTTGTAACGGAGGGAATACTTTGTGGCAGTTTTCGCTCTTACCCTGATCGAGCCCAGCGCTGGACAGCTGAGAGTTTGAATCTTGGCTCTGAATATTCTGCACTTCTGGTTTCCACTCCTCCAACATTTTGGACTGGACTCCAGATATGCACTCCAGGCTAAAATCCTCCACTTTAAAGGAATCCAAACAGCAAGAGGAACCATGTGTTTCCTCTGCTGGCTTCTCCTGCTTTACAGTAACCTGAGTAACTGGCTCTCGAGTGGATTTGCCAAGAATGCTGGGAAGTGGTGGTGAGATGCCATCTTGAGCTGCTTGGTTTGGACATACTGGGTTCATACGTTCGATCTTCACCATACAAATGCGAGAAATCTCTTCAGTTACCTCTGCAAATAAAGAGATGCAAGCATTTAATGATTTCTTTTAAATTAGAAAACTAAGGCAATTTTTCCATACATCATAAAATCCATTTAAAGTCAGCCTTCTATGGAGCTTGAGCACAGTACCTTTGCAACTCTGTTTCCAAAAACAGTTACTTTAAAAACAGAACTCAAAACAGATGTGAGGATCCAGAACTTTATGTTTGGAAATCATTACAGCGTTAGCCTCTTTTCTCTCTAGTCTGAAACCATCAGGCACGTAATCAGGGCACAGGTCAAAAGCCAGCATCAGAATACTTTATTAATCGCAGAGGAAATTATGTGGTCACAGTTGTGTGTGTGTGTGTGTATATATATATATATATATATATATATATATATAATTTTGTGTAATATACTGGGATAATTATAATTACAGCTATGTTGTTATATTTGTAACATATGGTATTATTTCATTTAGTTTATTTTGTTACTGCTCTTACTATCTTGGAGCAACTGTATATATGGTTCACACTGAGGTGCCCTTCTTATCATAATTGCGCAAATTAGACAAACAATTAGATTAAACAAATTAGTGCACAAAGCATGAGTAACCTGCACATCTGTGAAGACACCATTAATGCTGAATATACACATTTTTGGAACAAGATATTGCAATCCCATCAATGCATAACCTGGGAGGCATACGTCACTATTTTTATTTTTAAAACACTTGTAAGTTATATGAGCGCATCAAGACAAGCTAAAGACCTTTTAATGATTCTTGGATGATGTGTTGTGTATTTTTGATCTTTGCACTTGGTGGATTCACACACAAACAGGTATATTGTTTAAGTCTTTGCATCGGCCGCAATCTTGCAAAAAGGTGACTGTTTGCACTTCAGCAATCCTGCTAGTAACACATTCTGTTGTTAACTGGTTTCACACTTGTCTACAAAACGTGTGAAAAATGTTCATCCCCATGCATTAACAGTTTAGCTGTTGGTTTCTGTGCACACATCGTGGTCTAAATATAACTAGGATGCTGAGGCAATTACTGGGGTAGTAATGAAAGAGAACAAGTCTCCCAAGTACCTCTAGTGCATCCATCGTTCGGCTCATTTTCTGGATCTGAAGCTGCGTCATTTATTCTCTCTTCCTCGCGCGATCTGCGCTCGTCGGGTCTTCTCAAATGTTGATCCTGGCTGTCACGAGGCTGATGCGCTCCGCTGTGACCCGCAGGGGTAGTGTCACCTCTGACCTCTGTGCGGCCGAGCACACTGCCCACAACACTTGTGCTTATTTGACTGCAGTTGGGGTGTGGCGGTTGATCGGTGTACTTTATGGCACCGAAGAGCTGATTAGTAGTAAGAGGGCTTCCACAGTTCTCCTCTCTGCGCGCAGAGTCCAGCTTAGCTTCGGCTCTCTGCAGCCTTTGTTTGAGGGACTCGTTTTCTCGTCGCATCTCTTCATAGATGTCGCTCGTCACCTGACCTGCCACAAGCTTTTTCACCTCGCGAACCGCGATCTCCACGGCCACTTCAAATGCTCCGTGTATGGCAGCTACAAGCTCCTCTTGAAAGGACAGCGCAGCGTCCGCGCTGGTTTTGTTTGTTACGCACGGTCGCTCTTTGGTCCCAAACAGCTGCGGCTTCATGGTGCGTTTAACGACGCACTAACGCTGTACAATGACTTAATATTAAAACCCCTGATGAGCACGTGATTTCCCAATAATGGACCCCTTGTACTGACGGAGCTCGTTTATAAGCAAAGTGAGAGGTTTTACTTCCGCCAACAGTTGCTTATGTGCCAACTAGTGGTCCAAATGGCGAAGTGCATCACTTTGTTGGTTAAAAGAAAAAAAAAGGACAAAGTACAACTGAGAAACCTAAATTTATTATCTCAGCAACGACTGAAATATCTGAAATTATGCTCTTTTAAGGGCAAGCACAGGTGTAACGGCTGCTCCCGGGACGTCCTCCATCAGTCACGGGTTTTGTAATGGTCTAGGCGGGAAAGAATCCAACCAGAAGGCCCGAGGATGGTCAGAGATATCACCATCAAGACAAAAGCAGATTGCTGCAGAACAACAACATGTTACTTCAGTTACCACCAGTCAAAATTTGTAACATATTCAGACATGGAATTAGCGTCTACTTACGACAGCGCCTATTTTATCTTTGGGCGGTTTGCCATGGATGTAAGTTGCTCTTTATTGAATACCTGACCCGGGTATAAGAACCCGGCCAGCTTTTAATCCAGCAAAAAGCCCACGCATGTTTGGTCTTGAAAGGAAACGCTGGTCACACGCAAGAGAAATAACCACCAGGCGTTTTATGAGTTTTTAAAGAGATCTTAAGTAAATGGTTAACTTTTAAAATCTGTCCTTTTCCTGTTGACGATCACATTAAACTCTAAATTCAGGGTTTGGGTCTTCCACGGTCACAGTACTTCCTTTTATCAGTGTTTAAAAGCATATCCAGTTTGATGTATTTCTGTTTTATTTAAATTACAATCAACCTCCTACACGGTATAAAATAAAATAATAAAATAAAAAAGTCAGGGCCGTATGAGAGTATATGAATAAAAAACTTTACATTACCTCTAAACCAGCCATTGCTAATTGCTACCTTTCCACCAGGCTTCTTGCAGAATGGTAGGAACAATGGGTCACGTGGTATGTTGAACGTCTGAACAGAGACTGGATAACGGCAGTAATTTCAGTGGCTTTTAATCGTAGGAGGTATTAGCTTTAGTTCAGCTTGTCTAAAATGAGTTAATAATGGCACACTCACTTTTTTTACAGGTAAAATTGCTTTGCGTGGGTTTTATTAACGACTTCACTTTATTAATCTCATTAATAACCGGAAGGTATAGATAGAAGTACCACTGAAATTTCGTTGACGGAAGAAATGGGAGAAATGCATAAAAGAGGCTTGAAATAAACTTATCAAATAAGACAGTTATGATGCCTCAGACCATTTTGATCTATTCAATATTCTTCAGGAGATCCTGAAGCTCATGCTCAAGCAATGCACTCATGTTCAGCTCTCATGCATAGATACCTGTAAGGTTAATTAGACGGCTATTTGGAATTTTAAGACAAAATAACCCCGTTTTTAATCTCGCCACATGGATTTGTGCGAGATTAAAAGCACAAATCCATGTGGCGGGGTTTATGTTTGCTCTGTTGGTTATTGTTTTTCTTTTTGAATGCTACAGGCTGACTCTTGCTGTGAGGTGAGCGCACAAACATTAACGTCACTAATGGATTAGCCTACTCTTTGATTATTCCTTTACGTCCCTTGCGACACCGCGTGCCACTGACGCGCCCCTGTGAAGTGGGTCAGCTGGGCATTAGCCGGTGTGAAGGTTACACTTTGGATGCCGGTTCATTAATCAGGTTGTCTGTCTACTGGCCTAGTGCATACAGTTGTCTCACTCAGACTGAAGGTAAGCACCCTTATTATTGCATTTGTAGTTTACAGTTATATTTGGGATACACTGTCAAGATGATAATGGAGAATTATTTGATGTAGATTTGAGGCTTTTGATGCTTTAGATATGACATGGAGACTGGCTGTCACACAACAATGTGACGCATAGAACTATTAGGCTGTTAATAGCCTATGAAACTTCCAATTTCCTTATCAGTTCTCATCAGCCAAAACAAAAGCAAAAAAGCAAAAAGCTAGCCTAATCTTAAAAATACCATCCTGAAACAGCAAAAAGACCTGAAGTCACCCACTTCAAACATGAGGTGGTGTTTTGTTTTTGTTTTTTTTAAAGATACACATGCATGTTTTTGAAAGCCTACAGGGGGCTTGAACACATGTCGTCATGATTTAGCAAAAAAATACAAAATTCTGTTGTTTTCGTCTTCTCAGATTTTTTTCTTTTTCAGGTTTTACTTAATACAATTAAACAATTAGAAAATTAGACTTTTTATGGCCCAGTTAAGTCACTGAAAAAATATACGGGTAAGAGAAATTTGCTATTTGCAGTCTCACATGGGGACTGTTTTAGAGTACCATACACATTAGTATCAAACCATCAGGCCAACTGCAAAGGAATTCGAATTTTAGAATATAAACAGCAAATGAAATGTTCAGATCCTCAAATTATAATGTGTCTTTGTGACAGTGTATTTAACTGCCCAAGTGTTTTCACATGGATGTGTGCAAGTACATGAGTTTGTACAATGTGTAAGTTGTAATGTGCCCAACAAACTCCCTACATACTGTACTTAACTCAATACCCATGAGTAATGAGATAAGAGTTTGTCAGACAGGAAAGGATGGTGTTGGTAAATAGTTTTTTGGCACCAGTCATGGAAATTGTCTGCTGGATAAAAGCTTGTGGTCGTGATCTCTTTATCCTTATCCTTATCCTTATCCTTAGTTTGACCAGGTTAGTCTCTCTCCTTTTAATTCTCTCTCTTTTACCTTATCTTCCAGACTCTCAGCAGTGCCCGTACATTGGGTTCACATCATCATCCTCGTGCCCTTATATAACAACCCAGAAATTCTCCAACCGTGTGACATGGCAGATTCCCTGGAATCCAGCTCCAGTGAGGAAAGTCTCCTTATGCAGTGGAACATTTCCAGTCGACGCAGCCGAAAGTCTGGATGCTCTAACATTTTTACAGGCTTGAACATGCATCAGCTACACAGGCTGTTCAGAATGTCAGGGGAGAGAAATGCTGAGCATCGGGCGAAGCTGGTGTGGCAGGGGATAGATGACGATATGCCAGGAGCAAATGAAGAAAAGGATGAGAAAGAAGGGGAAGAAACAGGGCTGGCCGAGGCCTTGGTAGGACTGAGAGTCCGAGCAAGGAATAAAGCAGGAATCAGAGTAGAGGGACGGAAAGATCACAAGTGGAACAGAGCACTGGGATATCTCAGGTATGTGTCTGTTTTGTCTTTTCCTACACAAAATAAGAAAAGACAGGATGTGTGAAGATAATGATTTTAGATTTTATTCGTAGAAAATTGTTGCCCCCTCGTATCAGTAATACTGTCACCAGTTAAACTTTGGGTTACACAAGCTCTTGCCTAAATGCAGCAAACAATTGTCATGTGTCTAACAAACTCATTTTAACCTCACATGACTGTGTGTTCCCCTTCATTCTGTCACACACACACACACACACACAGTCATACATCTGTTTCTACATTCCTCACTGAGATGAAATAAGGGTTCTTAGAGTAATAATAGGGTCTCACAGCGTGGTGAAGGTCGGCGACATAGTGGTGCGGTATTAACAGAATTACTCAGTGTTACTTCTTTGACAACGCTGTGAGCTAAAGTTGTGAAACTCTGTTTGACTGTATAGTTCAGCTTGTTTTCTCATGCTAAATGTCTAATGTGACAATTTATTTATGACACTTTTTTGTTTGCTACAAATGGCATATTCATTTCACTTGCTGGAAGGCTTTTTTTTTTATTTCTGGAGAAATAAAGAGACATTGTAACTTTATTCTGTTCTACAACCATAAAGTAGAAGTAATCGTCAATAAAGTTTTTACTTGTTACATTGTAATTTAACTTCTTTTCCATGTGGCAACCTACAAATTTTCTTTATGGCTGTTCTCTCATAATAGCTCGTCTGTGGCTATTTTTCTGCTTTAGAGTACCATACACATTAGTATCAAACCATCAGGCCAACTGCAAAGGAATTCAAATTTTAGAATATAAACAGCAAATGAAATGTTCAGATCCTCAAATTATAATGTGTCTTTGTGACAGTTTATTTAACTGCCTAACCAAGAGTTATTTATGTTTGTTCCAGGATTAAGGAGCCATTATCTGACTTTAGTGCTGATGATGAAGAAAGCACTAAAGCTCCAAGTGCAGGAGAATTTCTGTTGCCAACTGAGGAAGACATCTCAGATAGTCAAAATCCCTTCAAACCTTCATCATGGAGGTTGGGGGTGACAAGGCTTGAGGACGCCAGAGACTCTGAACGTTACCTTCATCGCATCCTCTGTTAAAAACTAGATTTTGGATGAAGATGCAACAAAACTGACGTCTGATTTTGTTTAGAAGTACGCGCTTCTGCTATCATGCACTATACGTGTTAGACACTAGCACAACTTTATGAACTGTGGTAAACCTGCATGCAAATTAAAAGGACAATCTATTATAGGAAATTCAAATGTGTGTCTACTCACAAAGAGACATGTTGGAAAGAGGCTAGAATGAACAGTTTTATTATTGTTGTTGTGGTTTTTAATGGGCTGTTCTGTACACTACAATTCTTATACACAGAGTAAAATATTTTTGAATAAACAGAGGGAAATACTTTAATATGGATAGGATATTTCAATGTGTCACAGAATATCAAAGCAATCATAAATTTAAAAGAAATAGTTAGCGGTGAAATGTCCATCCATCCATTCGCTTCCGCTTATCCTTTTCGGGGTCGCGGGGGGCGCTGGAGCCTATCCCAGCTGTCATAGGGCGAGAGGCGGGGTACACCCTGGATAGGTCGCCAGTCTGTCACAGGGCCAACACACAGAGACAGACAACTATTCGCACTCACATTCACTCCTGCATTCACACCTATGGGCAATTTAGATTGATCAATTAACATACCCCCACAAACTGCATGTCTGAAATGTACATATAAATAATAAAACAATTCACTCAACAATTCACAGCAGCAGAAAAAAAGGTACCATATTGTAAAGTTGCCTATTTACAACACACTAGCATGAATTTACAGTTAGTTCTAGCCATCTGGTAAATTTAAATACAACATCCTCCGTCTTTTTGCTGTGATTGTGGTATCCACCACTAGCTACGGTAAGTATCTGGTTGCTAAATCTTAGTTGCTAAATTCCCCAATATATTTACCAGCTGGGTGCTAATTGTGTTTGTCGATGGGTGGTGGAGAGAGTG